ACTTTGCTAAAGTAATTCTATGTTTATAAAGTAAGAGTTCATGAGAGACAAGATATTTAATTATTATAAATATATCTCTGTTTGCTAACCAACTTCATATACATACATACGTGTGTATATATGTGTTTGTGTGTATATGTGTGTGCATTCATTCATTCAGATATATACACCTACACGATTGTCTCTGTTTCTCATGGTAATTTCTTCTAAACTGTAATGCATTTGACTATAAAGCATGTCAGTTCAAATGATTGTAATAGTATTAAAAACACAATATTGTCCTGAATATCTCGTAAAGGAAGAGATGGACATCTTAGAACTGGAAGCTTGACTCCTTATTTCCACTGCTTGCCTCAAAGAGGGATGTTAATTACTCACAATCTCAGGTTTCTACTTGTGAAATTTGATTTTTTTTTTTTTTTTGCTCTGAGACTTGAGTTCACTTCATAGTTTCCTATATTTGCTGGCCTCAGGACCCCTAAGATTGAAATATTGCATAGACCTAGCTTGGAATCAGGGGATATGTTTTGCCAACTTTACCTAGTAATCACTATCATTTATATATCAATGCATAGCATAATTAGTCCTGCCTGAAGACTAGTTACAAAGATGAGGCATAGGTCAGTTGAGCTCAGCCTGTTGTGACCAAACATGAAATGGGACTAAAACAGAATAAAAAACTAAAAATGACCATATGAAAACATGCTCCAAATAACTAATAATAAGAGAAATACAAATTAAAACACCTCTGAGTTTTACCTCATATCCATCAAATTGGTAAAAATGACCAAAAATGGGAATAGTCAGTCTTGGAGAAGCTATAAGAAGATAGGGATAGTAATAAGTTGTTGATACATCTATGAATTGGTCTAGCAAAACCAACTGCAAATTTGAAATTACCCAAGAAAAATGACTAAATTTTTCATACCCTTTGACCTAGGAACCCATTATTTCCCAAGGCAGATTATTCTACTTTGGGGTAGTTGGCATTATTAGGAATTATTTCCTTACTTGCAATCTAAATAAATATGCTTCTTTGCAACCTATTGCTGTTCTATCTTCTGGAACCAGGTTAAAAAAATATCCTTCTACATGACAACATTTCAAATATTTGTGCACCACATTTTATGGAAACTACTATCCCAACTTCCCACTTACTCAGAAAAGCAGGGGCCTCTGAGTTTGTCTACTCTGTCACTACACGGTCCTAGAGTTTGCCCTGAGAGGTTGGGGTACCGAAGGTCTAATTGTATAGCTCATGAACTCCCATGGGTGAATATTCCTCATTGATTATCAGCAATATGCATTAGGCACCTATACTTAATTGGTTTTAGAATATTTACAAAAGCGGTATAATAAGGACAATTTGTATTAAACAACCCCCTCCCCCAAGTCTCACCCCAGTACATACAGAGTATAGGGGAAAATGGGTTCAAGGTTAGAGAATACATGTAGTAAAAGGATAATTCAGCACTTGGAAGCCAATCTGTTGGAGTCTTCAAGATGTTCCCTTCCATTTTTCTTTTGAACTCCTTGTAGAGCCTTGTATCTTATTTCCTTATCTCATCCCTCTGTCTCTTCAGACATTGTTGTCATATGTCCTAGGGACCAATTGGGATGCTAAAGGGAAAATGTGAAGTCCAAAATTCTCTGAATCTTCTGAAGCTCAAAAAGATCCTCCTTTGAACAAAGGGATAGAGGAGGATGAGAGTGAAGCCAAGTCTGACATACTCTCTCTTTTTCCCCTTACCCTCAGGCCTCCACCAAGTTGTTCTTTCTTACTCATTTAGTTTGAAAGCTCACCCCTGCTTCATGTCTTTACTCAAATATCTTGGGTGAAATTAACTAGATATTTTATAACTAACCCACAGGGCATGACCAAGTTTTCTCAGCCAATCCAAACACATTGCTTGCATACCTAAAGAAGTGTCCTAGCCTTTATTCATATCTAATATGTACTTGATGAATATAATTTGAGTGAAGGTGATTTCAATCCCACCTTGTACTTGAAGATGACAGTCATGTCCCCCTTGCAAACATATATTCTCTTTTTTCAATGTAAACATCCAAGGTCCCTCAAATAAACCTTATAAGAAGTTACCTATCAGAAATCTCACCAATTTGAAATTAATTTATTCTGAAGGGAATCCTCCTGTTAAAATTCAAATACCTTTGACAAGGTTGAGGGCTTATTAATCTTTCATAACTTGATGTGAATTAAGTCAGTAAAATTGTAGTTCCCTCAACTCCTACTTGCCTTCTTTTTTGAATAGGGACTTTAGGTAGTGGAGAAAAAATTATCTTTGGAGTTTGGATTATTGTAGAAGACAAGGCAAGGCTGGAAGGGGTGTTGCATATGAATCTTAGGGAAGATTGATGACAATGAGCTCCTGAGGCATCCCACAAGATGGAAGAGGATTTATAAGGAGGGAGATGGAAGACTACCCAAGGAAAATAATACTATCTACTTGAACATTTTGCCTAAAGTTAGTTTTATATCCCAGAGAGAAAAGGAATTCTTTCCCCCTATTCTCCTGATCCACCCTACTCTGCTTCCAGCAGGTAGAATTCAGGCTAGAAATATTGCCATCTTTATGGGCTAAATAGATTTATATGGACAAGCCTAGAAACCAGCCACATTTTACAATATTATTTCTGTGGATAAAGGTATTCTGAGTTAAGACAAATGACATAAAAACAACTTTTGAAAAAACAACATGGTCTAAGTAATATTATAGATTTAGAACTTGAAGAGAGCCATCCTACTCATTTTACAATCAAATCTCCTTTTACTGACGAGGAAAGTGAGACCTACAAAGGTTATTTGACTTCCCTAAGATCCCAGATAGCAAGAGGCAGCACTGAGATTCAAAGTTGCATCCTCTTCTTTCAAATCCAACATTCTTTGTACTGTACTGCATTACCTCCAGTACTCACTTCTTTGTACCAAATGTGTTTAAATACATCTCTTAAAATAGGTATTGAAAATGATAGAATTTTGGCATAAAAAGAAACCTCAGAATCCAAAATTAACATGACATATCAAGAGGTGGAAGGCCTCAGAAGGTCAAATGATTTATTCAAGATTACCCAGTGGAGGCAGCTAAATGGTGCTATGGTTAGAGTACAGGATCTGGAGTTAGAAAGACTTGAGTTCAAATATGTCCTCAGACACACATTAGCTGCATGACTCTGGACAAATCACTTAAGCACTTTTGGCCTCAATTTCCTAACTTCCAAAATGTGGATAATAATAGTAGCTAACTCACAGGGTTGTTATGAGGATTAAATGAGATAACATTTGTAAAGCACTATGCAAATTTTAAAATGCTATATAAATACTAGTTTATGTTAGCATCACTATCATCATTATCGTCTTGTTTATGGCAGAGTCAGGATTTGCACTTGGTGGTCCTAAGTTTCTGTCCTCATATTCTTTATAGTACACCATGTTTCCTCCTCTTACTACAGTATACCTGAAATTATAAAACTTTTGAAAAGACACTAGGGTTAGAGAAGATAGAATTGCAAAAAATGTTCAGTTAGCCCAGAGATTATGAAACAGCTGGTCAAAGTAAACATTGACATGGCAATTTTCCCATCTGCACAGTTCCTATTTGGGGAGATAGTGTAGGAATATCTTTGTAGAAGCTATGGATTGAGGTATCTGAGATAGCAAATTATCACTGTCACATAGAAATTTGAACTGAAGGACACTCAATGATATGGGATAAAGGTGGACCTGTATACACGCCTCCAGAGCATGAGTCAATATTGTCCCAGGAATCCCCCTTACTGACTCACTGAGTAGGAGACTGGACAGAATATTTCTGAAGGCATAGTGACTGGCTGAGGAGAATGAGCAAGATGAGTAAAAATGATATTTACTACTTTATCTTTTTATAATTTCATAGCAGACATTTCGTCTATTGCAACAATGGGCAGTAAAAACTAACCCTGTTTCAGAGGCATATGCAGAGAGGATGAATTCATTCCAAGCATATCCAGTTTCCATCAATGATTTATGACCATTTAAAAAGGAAAAGGAAATATCAATTTCTAAATTTATATTTAATATTTACAAATATGTAAATTAGGCTGCCTTAGAACAGAGTAGCAGATGTCCCTATCTTCTTGATGCTGATGGTCGGCTTAGGTATTGCTTTAAAATGATAGATTTGAAATGAGTGTTATTTTCTAGTGTGCTTCATTTTATTTATCTTGAAGCATTAATATTGTGTGGTTTTAAAATAGTTTATACGATATAATTTTGAAACCCAGCTCTCTTTAATGGAGTATTCTATTTCAATGTGGGGACATACTTGTTTCATGACCTTAGAACATCTTTTTTTTTCCCCCTTCAGATAAGAATTTTAAAACTCTTTCCCCTCCTCATACCCCACATTTCTGGTTTTTCTATTTATTATTATGGTTATAGCATACATTCCTTGACATTAAAATATTTCAGAACTGTGGAATTTGATTCATAAAGCTTTTTTGTCTACCTTTCTATATGAACATCTTCATGAAGAGTGATCACCAGGCTGCATTTACCTCTTCCTTGGGATTTCAGTTCACAAGGTTCTAGAGTTAAGATTACTTCCCAAAGATTTCAAATTTGTGTTTACAAATTCTTGGATTGAAATGAAACTAGCTTCTCTATTTCTTAGTTTCGAGGAATTTTGAACACTCAGATACTGAGGAAGTGTTTTGAGTTGGCAAGAGAGAATATTGGACTGCAATGAGCTGGCATCATGCTTACCCACCACCAAGTAAATGGAGTTATTGATCCCTCCCACTTCTGAAGTCTGCACCTCATTGAAACACCATACCCCCCCCAACATGTAAACAACAGCTAAATATACACTTATATGTCCTTGGTTTACTTTAATTTGGCAATCAATCAAGAATATGCACTTCACAGTTAGCAAATCCTTAATTAAGTATAAGACATGGTTGCTTCCAGTACCATAATTCATTTTTTTCTTCTTTTTTTTAAGTTATTCGCCAGGGTACATATCACCCTGACCTGTATATCTCACCACCACCACCCCTACCACAGTGTTCAGGACATCTGTGAGTTTCAGAACAAGGTATGTGATAATCTCCTCTTGATGACATAATATTTAATGGAGTCTTACTTCTGGAGATGTCTGATTCATTAATTTGAAGTGTCTACTTTGAATTTTCCAGTGTTTTAAGTGGTGAGGCAAAAAAGGTGCTATTTTTGCCTGTGATTCTAAATTCTTATATCCAGGTCTTGATTGAAGGGATAGAAAGGGGATTATCCTGTTTTTGTTTGGCCTTGGAAATTATCACATGTGACATGCATGGAACATAGGATGAAGTGGGGAGAGGGGAGAGTGGAAATGATGACACTTACATGATCTTACAGGTATCATTATCTTATAATATACAGCACTAGAGTGGTAGGCCATATAGAATTAGACTCAACAAAATTCAGCAAATTAATAGGTAATCACAAGCATTCTTGTGTGTGTTTGTGCCATTTAATATAAGCATGTATGTCCATACTTGAATTCTCCAATATAGAGGTATATTTCTTCCACATATGATCAAAATTCACAACTAACAGTTATTCATTTGGGCTTAAATTTTTCCCCAGTATGAGGAGTTTTTAGTATTTCTTTTAGTTGAGATCTTTAGAAGAAGAAGTTGACTATACATTTTGTTAAAAGATTTTTGTTATATTTTGTTTTCTGAAACAGGAGGAATTAGATGGAAGAGAAAATAAATTCTTGGTAACTGAAAAAAACTGAACTAAAATTTTAAAATAGTGAGGTGGAGGAACTCTGTTCTAAGGAAGCTGACAAAATGATGCTAGGTAAAGATTCCAAAACTTTTGACCCCTCTGCTATTTTTTATGAAGCAAATAACTAATATTATTATTGCTATTAGACCTATCTCAAATATACCTTTTATACTAGCAAAGGAGAAACAGCATCTAATCTTCAACTTTTTGTTTCCTTTCTGTTATTACAAACAAGCTGATGGACTAAAACAGGCTCCTTCTATTTCACATTTAACCAGAACTATCTCAGATACCTAGAGGCCACTGGCAGCTTAAAGGCTAGTAGGCGGAAAGTGGATAGAATGCCACACCATGAGTAAGGAAGACTCTTTTTCTTGAGTCCAGAAATATAGCCTAATACTCTTTTTAGCTGTGTTACCCTGGGCAAGTCACTTAGCCCTGTTTGCCTCAGTTTCTTCATCTGTGAAATGAGCTGGAGAAGGACATAGCAAACCACTCCAGTATCTTTGTCAAGAAAACCCCCAAAGAGGTTACAAGTCAGACACAACTGAAAAACAGCTGAACAATAAAGTGCAGAATCAAACCAGGATGGGATACAAAGACACAATAGAGTGATTGCCAATTAATGTTTTCATTATTTCCAAACAGAATATAGGCTCAATATAGCAGTCTCTTATTTACTCTTTCTTATCTTTATTTTATTTCCTGTCACTTCATTATTATTTTGTAGAGTACTAAATTATAATAATTCTCAGATACTTTCATATATCTAACTATCTTTCTATCTCTCCATCTATCCATCCATCCATCCATACATCCATCCATCCATACATCCATCCATCTATCTATCTATCTATCTGTCTATCTATCTATCTATCTATCTATCTATCTATCTATCTATCTATCTATCTATCTATCTATCT